ATCTCTGCTCAGCATAAAAATCTATAAATGTTCGGAAATAATAAGGATATGTATGTTTATCTGTATCTGCACGTTCTTCAGCATAATCTAATAGTTCTGTATTACTGAACTTTCCAAAGCTCACTCTATTACTCACCTTTTCAGGTTAAAAGAATTGTACCAGTGCATCTATCGACTTCAGTAAGGAGTTCTTCTGGCGTTGTTACAGAGCATGGTACATGTGATTAGGGGGCATGTAATTGTATTTTGTTTTATATACGAGTCTGAAAATCTGTTTTATTTTTAAATAGTAACAAATGATTTTTATTAGTTTACATGTTATGATAAAAAGTTTTAAATTTTTCGCTATTTTTACAGTGGGTCGCTCCGGTGGTCCAAATGTGACACCCCGGATCAGATCTGATTACCCTTATCGGTCTGTGGGGGTTACATGCTGTCATGTGTGAAGACATTTTTTTGAGCTAAAGATTGATATCATGAGCTAAGTTTAAGATGATATTATATTAAGGACCTAATATATATCATTTGTGAGCTGAATTGAATTTAAATGAGTTAGAAAATGAAGGATTAACATGCTGACATATTATGAATACAATGAATTCAATCTAAATGAATGTAAAACTAATATGAATTCAATTATATATTTAATAATGAACTGAAATAACATCATGCAACAAGTAACATAAAGATGTGGAAATGTTAAGTTAGATTTCAGCTAGTAAAACATTATATAACTTAGAATTAAGTGGTGTTAGCTTGTCAAATGAATCAAAAACATCAAGCCACTTATTTAAAAGTACTTCCCTGAATTGCTTGGCTCTGGATCGAGTAATGGGACCTTTTGGCATTACTTTTGGGTCTAGTTTAGGCGTAACCACATCACATGAAGTGACAAATGTTAGTGATCATACTTCACATTGAAAGTGGTGAATATTTATATGACATTTTCTTAATGTATAGTTACTTGGAAGTGATGGATATTTGGATGCTACCTTGGTAGTGGCAAATACTTTGAGTTTATTAAGTTGATTGTTTTGAGGGTTAGTTCACTTGGGAGTATTCAAACCATTTAGAGATTTCTCTGAGGGTGAATTCACTTGGGATCATTCAAACCCTTTAAAGATTTCTTTAAGGGTGAGCTCACTGGGAGCACTTAAATCTTCTGTAGATTTTAATTGAGGCGGACTTATTTGAGAGAGCTCATACCCTTTGTAGATTTTTGTTGAAAGCAGACTCGTTTGGTAACGCTTAGACCCTTTGTAGATTTTCGTTGAGGGCGGGCTCGCTTTGGAGCACTCAGACCCCTTCGTAGATTTTCGTTGAGGACAAGCTTACTTGGGAGTGCTAAGACCCTTTATGATGGTTTTTTGCTTGCATATTGATTTACTATACATGTAATATTGAAACTATGTTTTTTCGTTATGAACTAGGAACATTGTATGCAGATTATTGCAAAGGACATAAAAAATTTGGGCTTTAAGTTTGTACTTACTTGGTGATAGACTGATAGTAGATGGTTACGCAACTTTTTGTCTTGGATGTGGCGAATGCATTCTCTACATTCTTTTTTCTTTGAAATTCTTATACTGGTACATGTTTGTGTAATATTTTAATACAGTGTTGGGGCTTGGTTTTTCATTGGGGACTTATGAACTGGCCTTATGTTTTCTATAGTAGAGTACCTCCTTTGTCTTGCAGATATGATATCCCTTAACTTTCGCGGGTTTTCTTTTTTTTCTGCATTTAGGGTGATGTGCTTCTTTCTTGTGAGTACGCTTCAAGATCTTTACTGACAAGGTCATCTACCTATTCGCTTTTATATATATTTAGCCCTCAGGCCTCAGCAATTGTCAAACCTTCTTAATTCAGCAGTAGGCTTTTTGGCGGGCTTTCTTCGCATGTTGCCCCATGTAGATTGTTTGAACCCATTTAACAAGGCCTTAGAAACCACCATGAGCGACAACTACGTCACCATATTCCCCTCATTTCGTATTTTTGTCGGCTCCCAAACCTTCCTTGGATCCCTGTATCATCAATAATTGTTACCATCCACTAAAAGTTTAGGCTACGATATTTGGTTGTGGTGTGGTTGGCTGGGAAAGTAAGAAAAGGGATCAAAAGAAGGGGTCGGCATTTGTTAGATATGAATGTTGTGTTGCCTTTCTAGAGGATTTTCCTTTCTTGCAGTTATGTTTTTTCGTAATATGATCCTTTACATGCAGAGCGATATGGACTTTATTTTCCTCAAAGTTGATTGTCGTGTTTTGGCTACAATTTCTCCTTCGTCTCTTTTTAGGTAGGATTTTAAGCTTAGAACCTAGAAACCTTTCAAGGGTTGTTGATTTTCGGGTTTGGCCTTCTGGTTCACCTAAGGATAGTCAATATCAAAGGTTACAGAGGAGGTTTTTCCCCTTAATATGGATTCGTCTAGGATCTTGAATGCTTGCATTTTTGCTTCAAGATCTTGATCTTCATATTTTCGAGTTGTTTCTTTCATGGTTTTTCTCTTTTTCTCTACATGTTTTGATATTCTGGTGGTTTTAATGTTTCAGGATTTGCATGATTGAAGATTTGTAAGTTTTTTGATTTGGGAATTTGGAGACCATGAGGCATAGGGGTCTAAAGGTGGAGTGTTTCATTCATAGTCATCACAACAATTGCTGACAGATAAAGTAGCCAACAGTCATGGAAGATGGTTGGAGTGTAGCATGAGTCACGGAGGAGGATGGAGAGTATATTGTCTCTCTAGGTCTCTCGCGTGTGATTATTTATATTACCTTGGGCTCGACCTTGGTCAGGGGTTGTTTTGTCATTGTTCCTCACTTATCACCCAAGATTGAATTTTATTGGTCGTTGTGAGAGGTGACATAATATGAGCTGATTGATTACCTACAACCATCCTACCTTAACCATGATTAATTGTTTTGGGAGGTGATAGGATAGGCTATGATGCTTCTTGTCTCAACACGTGGTTGATGTCGGTCGCGTGTTAGGTATGTCTAGTCAACAAGTGTTTGCATGGTGATGAGAATTCTACGTCCACGGGAGACAGTCTCAAGACTTGTGAGTTCGCAGGTGGTAACACTATCTCATTATCAATTCTCATGATTTTCACTTTTGTGCCAAACACGAACAAGAGATTGACAGGAAATTCAGGAAAATAATGGTGAGGGAAAAATTCAGTTTTGCAGTTTTACATAAGAGATCGATAAGAAATTTGGGAAGATCAAGAATAGAAGATAATGGATTCATATAGATTGACTTATTATTTTAATATAAAAATAAATTTATAATATATTAAATCATAATAAAGAATGGGAGTTGAATCCTTTTCCAATTAAAATGTAGCCCCTTAAAGATTTCAAAATATTTATATAAATTGTGGTGAATATCGATATGTGAATATCAATGTGTCACGTACATTTTAGAATATATATATATATTGACTCAAATTATAATTTATAATTAAGTTTGATTTTATTATAATTCTAGTGATTAGATTATTTGGTAATTGAATTTATTTAGTACATAAATAATTATTTTGGACACAGATTCTTATGAAATAAGAAATATCGATGACTATGTATTTGACTCTATAATAAAATGATATGTCTCAGCCTTTAGAATAAATAAAGAATAATTTCAGAGAGAATCATTTTTTGGGATCTATACAAGTTTTGAGGTTATATTGCATAGATGATTTTGCATTGATATTGAGAGTTTTTTGGATACTTTGAATTTTGTTGTGGAAACTAGATATTTTAGGCTACATGGGGATTTTATGTATTTATACTCTTTATGATCTCTACATTGATAGTTGATTATTGTTCTTATCGTATGTGGATATAGGCAAGGTTGAACCATGTTAAATCTGGTCTTCTTTATATCTTTTATCTTATGTGGATATCGCTTTGGTTATTTTTTTCACTCCTAAATTTCTAACAAGTAGTATCACGAACTATGGTTTAAGTTGTGGAGTTTCAATATAATTTTTGTGAATTTTGTGAGGGATTTTGGAGACATGCAAGAATAATTTTGATGCAATGAGTTTTCACTCAAAGTGGATTAATTCTCAATGGATCTAGTGATGCTTCAACAACTTCAATATTTACGTAAGAATTGAAGTTGTTGAAGACTTATCACTGATATTTCAACAGATATTTGGCTTACGTAGATATTGAAGTTGTTGAAGATTTTAAGACCAATTATTTATGAAATATGGGTCAAGTGGAAGATTTGTTATATTTTGATCCAAATTATAATTGATAATTATATTGATTTTATTGTAATTCTAGTTGTTGAAGATTACTTGGTGCTTGAGTTTATTTAATAAGCAAATATTTATTTTATACAAAAAAGGAAATTGGTGATCAAGTATTTGACTCAATAAATAAAGAATATGTACTAACCTTTAGAATAAATAGAGAAAGAAATATTTTGAAGAGATATAATCATATTTTGGGATATATGTAACTTGTGAGATTTATATTGCCGAGATGACTTTTGCACGAGAGTTTTTGGGACACTATGAGTTTTGGTATAGATGTTAGATTTTAGGATATATGGGAATATATATTATGTATTTGTATTCTTCATGATATCTATATTTATAGTGGATTATTATTCTTCTCGCTCGTCGAAATAGGCTAGGACAAGACCACAAATTACATAGATCTCAAAAACATATATATTTATTTCAAATTACATTATCCAATGTATAACAAGACGACAAATTAAATATACAATAAGTATTTATAAAAATTTAAGTTGTTTTTTATATTTTCATCTTTATGATTGATAGTATTAAAAGTTTTTAAAAAATAAACGTTTTAAATGATAATATATCAATAAAATTACATTATACTTTATATCTCGTTTTTTTTGGTGTGTTTTAAATAATCGAACGTTTAAGGCCACCCATTCAAGAGTATGGAAAAGCAGGCAAAGGTCTATTTATTCGTTGCCTTCCAACTAGTACAAAAAACTCAGTAGCTCTCAATCATAGAAAATATACAGCCATTACGTTGTTTTAGTTCAGTGGTAGCTTCATTCTTCAACAGATTCTTGATCCATCACAGCCTGGTTCAACATTTAATCATTTAGGGCATTAATGGATTTGAAGTACATAAAGCAATCGTTGAGGAAAAAGAGATCAAACCGTGGAAAAGGGACGTGGACATTCATGGAAAGCAAGGCGAATGATGATAAGAAAAGCAGCTTGAAGAAGGGTAAAGCTTACAGGCATCCAACTTATCGTGGTGTAAGGATGCGAAGCTGGGGCAAATGGGTATCCGAAATACGTGAGCCGAGAAAGACATCAAGGATTTGGCTTGGGACTTTCCCTACAGCAGAAATGGCAGCTCGAGCCCATGATGTTGCCTCGTTAGCCATTAAAGGTCCCTCAGCTCACCTGAATTTCCCTGAGTTAGCTCACGAGCTTCCGAGGCCTGCTACTTCTTCCCGTAGAGACATTCAAGAAGCTGCTTACAAAGCAGCCTACGCCATGATGGATCAAGGAGAAAGCTTACGACTGAAGACGGAGGAACCGAGTCAAGACGTGACTCGTTCCGCGAGCTCCACCTCGATGTCATCGGAATCTCAAGGCTCCCCATTTTCTCAATCGGTGGATAGTGATCAGAGTATGTGGGTTGACCTACCTGATCTCTCGGTCGAAGCAAATTCGAGCCATCGATTCGGTTTCACTTCCTGGTGGCAACAGGCTGGAATCGACACCGAGTTCCAGTTTGAGGACACAAGATCACGGTGGGATAAGTAGTTCATCATTGTGAGATGTTAAGAACTGGGGTTATTCGTATCTTTCTTGCTTCACCAACTTTACCTGTATAAACACCTTAATCTATATCTCTAAATCCCCAGAAACATGCGTTTATTAATTTCTGAATGATAATCTGAAGATTTACTTTTGTTCAACTACAGCTTATAGGTCTAGATAATCCATTTTTCCCTACATTTGGTAACTCTTATGAAACTTACAACATGATAGGCTTACATCGTCGGGTAATTTTACCATGTGGTAAATTAATTTAAGGTTAATTTGCGACAAATTTTAACTTAAAATTTTGTCATGTCTAATCCAACAAGTTAATAATTTGTAATAATTTCGATCGCAATCTAAAATATTATATTGCACGAGTTTTAACCTAAAATGTTACATGTCCAAACTAAAAAGTTATATAATTGATAATAATTTCTATTATAACCGAAAATGTCTTAACGATAATGTTATAGGTTTCAACCTGAATAATTGTGCAATTTACATTATTTTTTTTTATAAAGAATGTAATATTTTCGATTTTATCCTAAAATGTTATCCTAACTAACCTAAAAAGTTAAGTTCTTCATAAGTTTTTTTATTACAACCTAATTTTACCTTTTTTACCTTGGGTTAAGAGATTGTATTTTAGTTTCTTTCTACATTGTTATCCTTTGTTTTTTATTTTTAATAACTCTACATTTATGGCGTGTTTTTCCTATGCCTTTTGATATATTTTTTTCCTTCTTTATTAGTCATTTGGCCACTCTTTTTGCTTTATATTTTTCTTAGGAATGGATTTGACGACACATCTACTGATCCAGATAACATTTATTTGTTTTCTTCTTGAACTTTCTTGCTTTTGATCATCGAACAGAATTTGGATATACATTTGCATTCGTAGATAGTTTCTCATGTCGTTTGACTTTGATATGGGGTTTGTTGGTGGCCTTTAAGTAGTTTTGATCTTCTTTTGTGGTTCGTTTGTCGATGCAGTCAGATCTATTCCTATTTATATTTGTTCAAGTTTTTATTTGGATTTTTAACATTTTCCTTTTATGATCCTTGTTGATCTCAAGTAACTAGTTTCTTGTATCAGTGAATATAAAAAAATCCTAATTATGTGTAGAATTTAAGCTTATGATTATAAATATTCATTATAATTATGAGTATTTTTTTAATAAAATTAGCGACATCTATTAAAATATAAATATGATTTAGAGATTATGAATTCAATAAAAGTGTTAGGGAGAGTGAGTAATGCGTATTTTTTCTCTCGGAACAGTGCCGCTGCCAGACGAAATGGCAACTTCTCCCCAATTATGTTAAAATTAACCTGGACGGTGCTTTTGAACCCATTGGAAGGATGGCAGCTATTGGTACTATTGCTCGTGACTCTCTCGGCCAGGTACTTGGAGGAATGGCTTCAACATCGCCAGGTTGTGTTGAAGCGGCCTATCAGAGATTCACGCTTTCAATGCTGTTATTTCGTTAGCTAGCGAGTATAGTTTGACTTATGTCATATTTGAATTGGACTCGACACTCATTGTTAATAAGTTGTCCCGACAAGAGGACGATATATCCATCTTGGGTTATTTCCTTTTGAAAGCTCGTAAGATATTAGAGCCTAAGATCCACTTCAAGATTTGTTATATTCTTAGATCTTGTAATTATGTGGCCCATACTATAGCTGCATGGGCTCTTAAGTCTGATAATATTTTATATTTTGATTATGTTTGTCTTGAACTTATATCTTTTGCTGTATCAACGATTATATTTATGCTAATAAAAGTATTAGGGCATTCTTTCCCTCTTATAGGGGTTTCTAACGAGGCATTTTCTCTTTTAAAAAAAAGAAATAATTATTTTATATAATCATTTCTAAAATGAAATCTCATGCAAATTAACATCTTAGTTTAATTGGTCCTCGTATTCATCTTTAAGAAATATCATATTTGGGGGGAAAAAATAAAGGAGAGTGCGATGAATACTTTTGCAGCGAGTTAGACTACTTATTCTCTACTTACCAAGTTGAGTCAAATCTACATATATTGGTACGCTTTTGATGCATTCATTCCTTATGCTCGGTTGTTGTTTATTTTTAGTCTGGGTTTCCTTTTAAATAAAAAGCTTCCAGCTTCCTACATCTTTTTTCTGCTTTAATTCTCCTAATAAGATAAATGTCTGAAATTAAATTTCATATTTTAGGTTAACAAAATCATTTCCAAACAGTAGAAAAAATTGGTTCTTCAGTTTAAGACCAAAATTGGTTCTTCATATTTGGTCCCAAGTGATCTCAATTATGAAGTCCCCATGTACATTCCTCACCCATCACTATCAAACTTGAAAGCCGACAAAAATCTGGCAAAAAAGAAAAGACTGCATTTAATGTTTAGGGGCCAAGAAAATCATCAACGTTTCGGGGGAAGGGAGCGGAGGTCACTTATGTCTCATGCCTATGTAATTGGAAAAACTTAAAATAATTGAGATATGAGGTCATTAATGTCTCATGCTAACGTACAACATTTTATTTGTCATCCATGACTGTGATTTTGATTATTGCGAACCAGTTTTGTTTTTATGGATTATCAATTCTTCTAGAAGTCGGTGTTTTGCATTTGGTTATGTTTTCATTCAAATAATTGTATTTACGACAGCATATCCAGGTCAGAAAAATGGAGATAAATCTTCAAAGCAAAACACACCGTTTATTTGGTTGCTCAACATTTCACAAAAAAATCGAAGAAAAGAAAATCTCCACACGAATAGGAATGTAAACCAATCGAGTTTGAGTATTGTTGAACTCGATTCAAATAATAAAGTTTAAAGTTAATTTGGCTAGACTTTAAAGCTTATTAATTTAAAATTGTTAAGTTTAACTTGAATTCGAAATAAAAATTGAAATTCGACTCGAGCTCGAAAAAATCTGAACTCAAAATATTCTCAAATCTGTCTCTATTGAAGCTCAAATTCGAGCTTGAGTTTGAACTTATTATATACATAAAAGTCTTATAGTATTATATTATTAAAAACATTCAACTTTTAATATATAATTTTTCTGATTTACTCGCAAACTTTTTGAGTTGGGTATTAAATAGCTCGATTTGGTCCGTTAAAAACTCAAGTCGTTCGAATGATGAAAGAGTCAAACTTAAAAAGTTTACGATCTCTCTCATCTCATTTATAACCCATATTAATGAAAAAAAAGCAGTTTCGAGAAGTGTAGATTTTGCCCATACATTTACTATTAAATTTCAATCTTCGAAGGTGTATTTTAAACTAAGTTTTAAATTTTAAACACAATATCCTTTGATGCCAATGATATCTGGACTTAGCACTAACGAAGAGATCCTGAAACCTCAAAATTCTTAGCATTCTTCCTACTATGAATATGTTTAATCCATATTTAATCTAGAGAGTCAAGTGTTGTTTGAACTAAAATAATATTTTTTTATTATTGAATACAGTTATTTTCTAATAATAGTAAACATTGATTTTTAAAAATTTCTTATTTCAAAATTTTAAAGTTATTCATATAGTACTATTTCATAGGAAAATTTCACAATGCAAGGCACAAACCATAACACACCATTAAAGCGATACACCAAAACACACCACTAACCAAACTGTTTTTATTAAGTAAATATTAAAAGGGTTAAGTACACATTTTGTACCTAAATTATAATTTTTATTTCATTTTGGTATCTAAACTTCATTTTTCTAAAACCATTAACGACAATGCTTATGTGGCATGATATGTTAAATTTTATTTTTAATTACCACATAGCTTTTTACTTTATCTGTCAATATTTTTAATTAATTTTATTTAACCAATTAGGGGGTGACACGTGTCACCACCTATAAGGATAAAAAGAAGAAAATCATTCTTGCTCTTATTATGAATTGAATTTGAGTCTATTACAAGAGACATATTACTTGGCCATTAAACTAAATTAGTCATTTGGGTAAATTTTATCATTTTTTTTGTATTTAACTTATATAATGTGCGACAAAAAAATCAGTACTTTTCGATGATTATAAGATTCAAATATGACACTTTAAATTAGTGATCGAAAGCATAACCACTCAACAATAGTGTATTTGTTTTTACTACATTAAACTTTACTTACTTAGATCATTATTAAATTAAAAGATTAATTTTCCACATTATTTAGAAATAAAAAATATTTAAATAATTCATAGTTTTATAAAACTTATATGAAATCATTATAAAAATATATATTTATAATATTATAAAAAAATATTTATTTTCTAAAACTATATTTATTATTTATTTGAATAATATTATTTTTAAACTATCTATTTAATTTTAAACAATTTAAAATTTAAGATAAATTACATGTTTAGTATCCAATTATCACTTTGGTTATGTATAATATTAATTAAAATTAAATAGTAATTTTAAAAATAATATTATTTCAAATAAATAATTAATATTATTTAAAATAATTTTTTATTTTAAAATATTTTAAAAATTTTATAAATGTACTCTTTCGAATGATTTAATAAATATATATAAAAATATTTATTTATTTTTTGTTTTTAAATAAAGTGAAAAAATATTCATTAATTCAATAATGATATAAGTATTAAGTTTGACGTAATAAAAATAGTTTTACACTATTCAAATTTTATAATCGTCAAAAAATATTGATTTTGTGGTGATACCATTATATAAGTTAAGTACTAAATGTGATGAAATTAATTCAAATGATTAGCTTAACTCAATGGTTGAGTGCTTTGCATTTCATTTAATAGGCATAGGTTCAATTGATTCTAAGAGTAATAATATTTTTTTTATTTTATCCTCGTAGTTGATGACATGTGTCACCATTTAATTAGTTGAATAAAATTAATTTAAAAATATTAACGAAGAAATAGAAAGGTGATTTGGAAATTAAAACAATAAAAAATTGATGTCATGTCTCATCAACATGTCATTAATTATTATGGGAAAAAATAAAACTTAGACACTAAAAGAAAAAAAAATAGCGTAAGTACGAACAGTGTATAATCATCATATTCTTATCTAACTATTATTTTTATTAGAAGTAATTATGAAAATAAATAAAACC